CCCCCCCCCCCCCCCCCCCCATCTGCTCGGTGGGATACGAAAGAGGGTTTCTTTTCCTCTCTCTCTCTCTCAATCTTCCTCCTCCTCCTCTGATGCTAAGGATTAAACCCTTTTCCTCTTCCTTCCCTCTTCCCTTTCTTCTTCTTCTTCTTCTCTGACCCAGAAGGGGAAGAAGAAACGCCTCTAAAAATCCCAGCAGTTTCAGAGTCCTGTGCGTTTAATACTACAGAGACCTCTCCTCTTCCATGGACACAGCTTCCTTTGATGTCGCCCCACAAGGGTTCAACGGCATAGACTCAATGGTCGACCCCTTCTTGGTGGAGGCTCTCCAGAATCCTCGACATCGTCTCACCAGTGAGTTCTTTTTTTTTTTTTTTCCCCTTTTAATAGAAGGGGTTGAATTCCCAATTCCCCTTTGTTGTTTCCCCCAATCTTGAATCTGTTTCTGGGATCAATTCATTGCAATTTTCGAGTTTTCTTGCTGTCCGATTTGTGTTCTTGTTGTTTGAAATCTGGTGAATGATTTCATTTCATTTGATTTTGTTGTTCTGTAAGCTTGTAGTTGGGTAAGATCTGTTCTTTCTTCGTGAGGTTTCTGCAAGTGCCAATTGTATATTGAACAACAGAACAAGCGTACAAAAGTAACAACTGATCAAAAATTCATATCTTTTTGAATTTAATAATAGAAATGCATCTTTTTCTTATAGGAAACAAAATGATTTCATTTGTATTTAGTTTCTCAACGGCAAAGATCCAAAGGAACACTTCCATTTTGTTCATTCTTACAGATAATGTAAGGTAGCATTGCGTAAATGGATATTGAGCAAACAAGTTATTTTTAGAGGCCTCAAGTTGTCACTTTTTTATTGTCTTTTGGAATTGGTATGTCTTATCTTCAGCTAAGCGCATAGGGTAGTTCATAATAGGCAGGGATTTCCCTGTTGATGTTCAATCTTCCTTCCCAAGTCCCATTGATATAAATGTGCATTTCTCGTATTTCTTCATTTGAACATTGAATTCTTTTAATAAAATGTGATTTTTCTTAGTAATTTACAATTTCCTTTCAGTTTTACGAATGGAGCTTGATATCCAGAAGTTTCTGCATAATCCGGATCAGCAGCATTTTGAGTTCCAGCATTTTCCTACATCATACCTTCGACTTGCTGCTCACCGTGTTGCTCAACACTATGGCCTTCAAACCATGGTTCAGGACTCTGGTGTAGATGGTTTTGGAAATAGGATCTTGGTTCGTAAAACAGCGGAAAGCAGACTCCCTTCTGTGCATTTATCTGAAATACCTGCAAAGCAATTGGACAATGAGAAACATGAGCAGGTCAAAATTGTTATCAGACCCAGGCCTAACAAAATGTCTGAAATTTCTGCCAATGATGGAGGTCTCAAACAAAGTTCTGTCAGGAGCGTGGAAGAGAGAAAGGAGGAATATGATAGGGCACGAGCTCGAATCTTCAGCTCCCCAAGTAGCCCTGAATTAGATGATACAACATCTCAGGCCCCATCTGAAGGAAAGTACGTTTGCTCGAACAGGGATGAGACTGAAGGCTGTAGAACTTTGGGTATTGATTTGGAAAAATTTAATGGCAGGGATGCCATGACTTCTCGGGTTGCCATTTTCAAAGATAGGGAAAAGGATCGTAGCGACCCTGATTATGATCGCAATTACGATAGGTATGTGTCCATGAAAATTTAGTCCGACGTTTTTGTTATGCCAATGGAGACATTTTCTTTGATTCTTTTTTGATACAGGTATATTAGGAACCTTCCAATCAATCAAAACTTTAGCTTGGCGCCCTTTGTTATGCCTAAAATTCAGCCTCCATTTGTGCAATACGATTCGGGTTATTCTCTCATGGGTCATATACCTGGAACTCAAGCTTCAGTTAGCTATGGGCCTCATCCGAGTCCTGCTGTAAGCCCTTTCTGCACAGTGGGTTTAAACCAAACATCTAGAGATGCATCTTATGAACAGTGGCAGAGTGCTGCAATGATGTATGCCCATTCGTACAACCAGCTCAGGCATTCTGCTTTTCAGGTACTATTTAATAACGAGGCTTTTCCCATTGCAAAAAGGTTGCAAGTATTGTTTTCCAAAACCCCCCAAGAGAACGGTATCATATTTGTCTCTAATATCTTTGTTTGGAGGCCCCCAACTCCAGCCAAAGGAACTCCTTTGAGCTTCCCTTATCAGTATCTGAAGTTTGGATTGTCATAAACATATTGGGTAGGATCGAATCCCCAGGGTCAGGTGTAGACCATGTGTTTACTCCTCACATCGGATGGAGAGGGGAACAAAACATTCCCAATAAGAGTACAATATCGGTTAGTGGTGGGCTTCGACGCTGGGCCCCAAAGGGGCGTAGATTGTGAGATCCCACGTCGGTTGGAGAGAGGAACAAAACATTCATTTTAAGTGTGTGGAAACCTCTTTCTAATAGATGCGTTTTAAAACTAAACTTTGAGGGGAAGCCCAGAAGGGAAAGCCCAAAGAGTTGAGCTGTAATAGTAGGAGGATGATTATCCGGTAAGTGCAGTATCATTTATATACAACTCTTGACATTCATGAACTGATTACTATGTTGTGGTGGTATGTTAATGCAGGCCCCATTCATCCAGCAACCCCTCAGCTTTGACTATTCACAAAACCATTAGACAATGAGGAGTTTAGGTGAAAAAAAAAAAACAGTTTACAACTAGATTTTGTACCTGTAGGGGTTGCCTTTTACTCTGCTTTGACTGCTTGGAACTCAGTTCTAGTTTGTGCCTCTTTTGTTCTTCATTTGGAGCTTTATTCTAAGAATCTGTAAGGATTGAGGAGTTTCTGATATCATTCCATTAGCTGAATTTCTTCATCTCATACTTTTGCTTGTATTGCTGCATTCAATCTCTCTTTAATACCATTTCAACCATTGGACTTCAATTCTTCTCCTCTGCTACACACGTATGTGTCAACTCATGTGCACCTCGATTATTCTCGTCTGGTTCTTTTTTTTTTCTTCTTACATGCTTTCGTCTTCTACGAACTCTTATCTTCATACCTATAGTGAAAGTCTCCACTATAAAATGACACGTTTTTTTGTTGTGTTCCTTCCTTACTATTAAATGTGGACATTGATGAGGATGTGAATTTGTAGGCTTCTCTTTCTCTATCTAAATTCTAATTATTTAGTAAATTCTAATTATTTAGTTGAAATAGTATGAATAATTTATAAAATAGATAGGCAAGTGATAACAAAGTTAGAGAATCTAGCCACTTGCGAACACATGTCAAATGGCCTATACTTTAATTAAGAAAAAGTTAAAAAAATAAATTATTGTTTAAGTTATTAATTATAATTTCTAAAAAGGTGAACCAATACCTTTTTGATTGGATAAACTCGAACCCATTTGGCAGACACAAAAATGAATTGAGTAAACAATGACTCAAAATTGTAGTTCTTAATTCCAAAACACCCAACAAAAGATGATACATGTCAACTCCCAATTGCCCACTAAAAAGCATAAATCAACGAAACAAAAGAATGTGGTGTCCACTTGAGTGACAAGACGGCTTAAACCACCTAATAGTCATTATATTTGTAGAGCGAAGGTTTATACTCTTCACCTTTTAAGAAAAGATGTCGGTGGCAAACTAAATTCAAGAGAGCTAATTAAAAGAATCTTTGTGTTGTTAAAGTGATTTGAACTAGCAAATTAGAAAATTGGTTCAATTGGATTTATTTTATTTTGCGAGGAAGGAGGTTGGGAAGTGATTTTGAAAGCAAAAAAAAAAAAAACAAAAAACAACCAATAATTGGGTGAGACACAGGTTGATTACAAGGTTGGTGGAGGTTAGTGTGTGTTGGGAATCTTAGCACATTATTTCCAAAGCTTCAATTTTGCAAACCAACAAACCTTAAGCTCACCTTTTCTAGCCCAACATGTGATACACTCAAATCAAACCTCTTTTTTTTTTTTTTTTTTTTTTTTGCAATAAATATATTTTATTATAACTCAATAGTTATGTCAAATGTTCGAGTACCATTAAGATTAAAATCTTTTAAATATTAAAAAAATTTCTCCCGCGCAAAAAAAATGTCTAAAATCATTGTAATTTATAATTATGGTAGAGTAAATGATTAATGAGACAAGTAATAGACCAAAAAGGAAAGAAAACAAAAGAATTAAAGAGTACTTGATTGATTGCTCACACGCCACAAAATCTTTGGTGTGTTTAGTTTACATTTTTTTTAGATTACCCTTAAAAAACATCGCTTTCTATATCACATTCTTTTTTCTTTTTTGGGAATCGACAACAAAATCAATTTACTTCATTCTTAAATGTCATCTACAACACGAGCACAAGCCCACCTCAATGCTTTAAACTAGTGAGAGATTTTCACATTCTTATAAAAAAAAAATGTGGGTTCTCACAGTCTACCTTCTCTCAGAGCCAGCGTCTTCACTGATACTCACTCCCCTCTCCAATCGATGTGAAATCTCACAAAAATAAATGTTAATGTGTTTTGGATAAACATGGGTAGAACTAGCCTACCATAATTGATAAAAGTGTTTTTAGTATATAAAATATGAATTTTTATGTTTGAAGTATGGAAAACAAAGATACACATAGTTGGTATTCCATATATGAAGCAATGCTAAGACTAAAATATAGGATTGAACAGTGAATTTATCAAAATTTGGAGCAGAGGCACGTGAATGCATTTTGGTTGCTTAAGATGTTTATTAAACAAATGGGTGTTGTGTTTTGGCACTGCTTCATTACAGCTAAACACTGTGATGAACCTCACATGCTCTGCTTCCATGTTTGTTGATTAGGATATAATTATTGTGGATAAGCATTCTAATTACCCCAAAAAGGGCTCAACTTTAACACCATTCAATTCACTAATTATCATTAATACCACACAATTTAGAATTTGGAATTTGGAATTTGGAATTTGGAATTTGGAATTTAGAATTTAGAATTTAGAATTTAGAGATGATAATGATGAACACACCCAAATTGTTCTTAATATTCATGTACAATCTTACCTCTGTAGCATAATATATAATCCATTTTGCCTTCGACTCTGCAACTGACGCCCGCCCTTGTTTTCGCCGGAGAAGACGACGGCAACACCAATGTCACGGCGATACAGAGAGTTCTGAGCAGATTTCAAAATGCAAAGAGCTTTAATCGTTTCCGGTGGGGAAAAGAGTGAGAACCTTCCTCCCTCCTGTTCCATTACTCGAATCCAAATCCTCGCTGTAATTCGTCGCCGGGGTAGTCACAGGGGTCCCAATCCGGTGAACAGGCCGAGCTAAGAACGGATGCTCAAACTGCCCATTAGGCGGCGACCCAAAATGGGCTACTTGTCGGTGGTATTGAGCGGCAGCGGCGGCGGCCATCTGGTGGTGGTGCTGCAGAGCGCCGACGGGCACAAACGGCAGGAAATGGTCGGAATTAGCCCGAGAGGAGTGAAGAAAATGCGGTGGAACTGGAGAGCTGGCGAACAAATGGTCGGTAGCAGGATCTGAAACGGGTGAAACTAATCCAGCACCGCCACTAACTCCGCCGCCACTGCCGCCGGAAATCCCCTGCATACGCTTCAAATAGAGGCGATATTTCTGCAAATGGCTAGCCACGTTCTCACGAGTTAACCCATCCACGCTCATCAACTGCATTATGGTTTTAGGTACAGCATTTTTTATTCCCAAATGGCCGACCGCGTCGACAAATCGCTTGTGGAGCTGTGGAGTCCAGACCAGGCGCGGCCTCTTCAGGGTCCGCGCAGGTTCGTCTCCAGCGCCGGCGCCAGACACAAAATCACCAGAATCCCCAAAATCGGCCGAACTCGGCTGGATTGGCACCGGAGGCGGCGGAGGCGGTGGGTGGTGGTTGTTGTTGTTGATGGAACTATCTGGGTTTCTGATATCAAATGCCAAAGCAAGATCAGGGGTGATAAGGGTTTGGGAAAGAGGCATCAATTCATCAGGAGAGGGAAGCTCCTGATCCCATTTTGAAAACCAATTAGAATCATCTTCCCTCATTGTTTTTCAAATCTAAAGCAACCCACTTTAGTTTTCACCAAAATTTCAACTGGGTTGGCTCTAAATTTGTAAACGAACAAGAAGAACAAGACACAAATTATGATCAAAACCAGAACCAGAACACCTGAAAATTTTTCAGACCAGAGGAAAAGGAAGAAGACGATGAAGAAGAAAGCTGAGGAATTTGGGAGAGGGGTTCGAGGTGGATATTGTAAAGCTCTTTTCTTTTTTTTCAGGTTACAATTATTAAAAACATTTATCAAGTACTCTCACCTGATGTTTGGGTTTTATTTTCCGGGATCTGAGGGTGCCGGAGAAAAAAGAAAAAAGAAAAAATCAGAAGATATGAGGATTGAGGGAGCGCGTGGAGAACACGCGGGAAGAAGAGGAGTGAGATTGGAAAAGGAAAAGGAAAAGATGAGGTGAGATAACCAATCATTTGAAGGTTGTGGGGGCATCCCTCAGGGTTTGTTCCGGCTGGGAGAGGACAAGGGCTGCTAGTACTAGGAATTTAGTAGTGGCGCGTGTAGTACACGTACCAATGGGGAATTTTGATTTTTAAAATTATGGTGTATTTTAATTTGGGTCGGGACAAGGGGGTTTGGAGTTTTGAGGAAATTGGAATTAGGGTTTAGTGTAATCAAATAGCCCAAATGTTGGCCCACTTGTAAACTTTTAGTTTTTATTTTCTAATTAACTTGCAAATCCAATGGTTTCCTCCTCTAACCGTCACAAAACTAATTTATCTTTTTTTAATATAGTAAAAAAGCATTATATATTAATTTTTAATCCACGTAAAAATATATTTGAATATAATCTCCTCTATTCCCCTCTCCGTTCAAGTCTATTTAAACAAATTTGAATTCAAACAAATTTGATTTTCTCAATTTTCCTTCCAAATATGAATATAGATATATCTATATTGTTGTGCGCCGAAAGCGGAACAAATGTACTCACAACACCAAAGTTACTCCAGACATACAATATGACACTCAAAACTTTAATGATTTCAACAGCAGAAAGAATGGCATTATATAGCCTTCTGCTAAACCTAAAGATAAACTAACAAGCCAAAAAAAGACCTTGAGAGTAGGTCTTGGTCCTAGAGAATAGGACTTATGACAGTGTTCAACAATCTCCACCTTGTCATAAGATCTCCAAGTTGATAGCTAATTTGGTTGCTACCATGTCAACACACTACTCCCTTCCGACGTTGATGAAATCTAAACAATGCCAGAACTTTTCACGAGTGATCACCTTTGTCAACATATCAGCAGGGTTATCAGCAGTTCCAATTTTTAATAACCGAATATCCCCTTTGCTAATAATTTCTCGAATAAAGTGAAAACGGACATCAATGTGTTTTGTACGAGCATGATGGACTTGATTTTTTGACAAGCAAATAGCGCTCTGGCTATCACAAAATACATCTATATGTTCCTGCAAAATACCCAAGTCATTGATCAAACCATGCATCCAAATAGCTTCTTTAAAAGCTTCTGTTACTGCCATATACTCTGCTTCAGTGGTAGACAATGCAACAGTAGACTGCAATGTTGAACGCCAACAAACAGGTCCACCAGCCATAGTAAATAAATAACCCGTAGTAGATCGTCGCTTATCCAAATCACCAGCATAATCAGAATCCACATAACCAACTACACGATTGTCAAGATTAAACATTTCTTGTTTTTGAAACTTAATACCAACATCAATAGTGCCAAGAATGTACCTAAGAATCCATTTTACAGCCTGCCAATGCTCTTTACCAGGATTATGCATATAACGACTCACCATGCTTACAGCGTGTGAAAGATCAGGTCGAGTACACACCATAGCATACATCAACGCACCAACAGCATTTGTATAAGGAATGTTCTCCATATACCTTTTGTCATCATCAGAACTTGGACACATGGAAGCACTAAGCTTGAAATGAGGAGCGAGTGGAGTACTAACGGGTTTGGTTGAATTATTCAAACTAAATCTTGACAATACCTTGCGTAGATATTGAGACTGAGTCAACCAGACTGTACCTTTTTTCCGATCTCGCTCTATTTCCATTCCAAGTATTTTCTTTGCATTGCCTAAGTCTTTCATTTCAAATGTTTTAGAAAGCTCATCTTTGAGCTTATCAATCTCCATCTGTCTCTTTGAAGCAATTAACATATCATCAACATATAAGAGCAAATAGATAAACGATCCATCATCGAGACACCGATAATACACACAATGGTCAAATTGACTATGAGTATACATATGCTCTACCATGAAATGATCAAACCTTTTATACCATTGGCGAGGGGATTGCTTCAGCCCATACAAAGATTTCTTCAATCTGCATACTAAATGTTGCTGTCCAACTACTTGGAAACCAACTGGTTGCGCCATATATATTTCTTCTTCCAAATCTCCATGCAAAAAAGCAGTTTTTACATCAAGTTGTGCAAGCTCAAGATTAAATTGAGCAACCAAAGCCAACAAAATTCGAATGGAAGAATGCTTTACCACAGGTGAGAAAATTTCATTGTAATCAATACCTTCCTTTTGTGCGTAACCTTTAGCCACAAGTCGAGCCTTATAACGTATACCAGAAGAGTCTTCCTTTTTTGCAAAAACCCATTTACAACCAATTTCCTTCTTACCTTTTGGAAGTTGTACCAAATCCCAAGTTTGATTTATCTTCAATGATGCTATCTCCTGATTCACAGCCTCTTGCCAGTGTAAGCTATCCGGGCTCTGAATAGCATCTTTGTAGCTGTTAGGAACTCCATCAATCAAAGAGAAAGCATATGCTATCGTATCATCAAACCTTGCAGGTTTTCGAATTACCCTTCGTGGTCTATTCTTGGCGATTGACTCAGGTTCCTCCACTCTTTCATTCACAAGGCTTTGCTCCTCAAGACTTTGCTCTTTTTGTTCTAAGACATCAAAGTTATTATTTACCTGATCAATAGGTTCTTCGGTAGGAGCAACCACATCAGGAGAGAACACCACCTTCTCCACCTGCTTCAATGCCTCGTCATTATTTTCAATTTTCTGCAAAAACATTCCAGACTCATCGAATGTCACATCTCGACTATTAACAATTTTACTTGTTTCTGGACACCATAACCTATAGCCCTTCACACCTTTGCTAAAGCCCATAAACTTGGCTTTTTTTGCTCTAGGATCCAATTTTGAGTTTGTCACATGATAATAAGCAGGACACCCAAACACATGCAATTTATCATAATCACTAACAGGACTACCTGACCATACCTCAAGCGGAGTTCTCCCACCGTTTCCAGAAACAGGTAAACGATTCACCAAGTGAACTGCATAACTGAGAGCCTCAGCCCAAAATGCCTTACTCAATCCTGCTTGAGACAATATGCATCGAACCTTCTCTATTAATGTCTGGTTCATTCTCTCAGCAACTCCATTTTGTTGTGGCTTACCAGGAACAGTGAAGTGTCGAACGATCCCTTCATCTCGGCATATTTTAAGAAATGGATCATAAGTATATTCTCCCCCGTTGTCTGATCTCAGCTTTTTGATTTTCCTATCCGTCTGATTCTCTACCATTTTCTTCCACTCTAGGAAGATTTGGAGAACCTCGTTTTTGTGCCTCATGGGATACATCCAAACTCTCTTCGAGTAGTCATCAATAAAGGTGACAAACCACCTCTTTCCTCCCAATGAGACATTCTTTGTGGGACCCCATACATCGGTGTGAACATAATCCAAAATACCCTTTGTTTGGTGTATAGCTGTACCAAACTTCACATTTTTTTGTTTACCAAATATACAATGTTCACAGAAATCAATTTTTCCAGTTGTGGCACCCTTAAGGACTCCTTGGTTCACCAATGTCTGAAGCGCCTTCTCACCAGCATGCCCGAGTCGCATGTGCCATAATTTCGATATGTCTTGTTCTTTCGAACTTGCCATAGCAGCATGCCCAATTATTGTGGTTCCGTTGAGGTAGTATATGCTACCTCTTCTGGTTCCTGTAATTGCCACCAAAGCTCCACGAGCTACTTTCAAATTCCCTCCTTCCAAAATGATGCGATAACCACTCGCATCCAAAACGCCAAGTGAAATCAAGTTTTTCTTCAAGTCAGGAACATACCTCACATCTTTGAGTTTTCGTATAACCCCATCAAACATCTTGATTTGTACTGAGCCGATTCCCATTATCTTGCAAGTACTATCATTGCCCATATAGACAACTCCACCATTGAACTTTTTGAAGTCCAAAAACATCTCTTTGTTGGGACACATATGATAGGAGCACCCAGAATCAAGAATCCATTCAATGGTTTGGCTGGCTGATAGGGAGATTGTCAAGGCATCATCTGTATCAGTGTCGTCATCTTTAACCACATTGGACTTCGACCCCTTCTCTTTTAAGATCGAACAATCTTTTTTCCAATGGCCTTTCTGTCGACAATATGCACACTCATTTTTATCAAGTTTTCTCCAATTATCAGATCTACCTCTCGACTTTAATCGAGACTCTCCACATTCGTTCCTTTTCCAGGTAGAAGTTCTTCCATGAGCAGTGAGAACATTTGAGCTAGAGCTTTGATACGTCTCCTTTTCCTTCTTTCGCATCTCATTGTTTATTAAGGCATTTGAAACATCTTCAAAATCAATATTAGTGATTCCATGTAGTAGGGTTGTTACTAAAAACTCGTAGGATTCCGGCAAAGAGTTTAATAACAACAACGCCTTGTCCTCGTCATCAATCTTAACATCAAGATTGAGCAAATCAGTGATGATTTTGTTAAAATCATCCAAATGCTCAGCCATTGAGATACCTTCCTTGTAGTCAAAACGGAAGAGTTTCTTCTTCAAATAGAGTTTATTTTCCACACTCTTCTTCATATATTTCGCTTCAAGCTTGTCCCATAATTCTTTCGCCATGGTAACCTTCATAAATGGATATTTCTGATCCTTGCCAAGACAGGATCGAATAATTCCACAGGCTTGCCGATTTAATTTTGTCCATTCTGCTTCTGTCATGTCTTCAGGCATCTCCTCTTGGAGAGAAACATCGAGGTCTTGCATGACCAGCAAATCGTTAACTTCGCCTCGCCAAACACCAAAATTATTGGTTCCATCAAATTTTTCTACTTCGAGATTGGAACTCCACACTCTCGATCCACGTCGTGATGGTTCGGCCATTTGCAATAATTAATCTGGATGTAACTCAAAAACACAATTCTTGAAAACTGATTTCCAAGAGAATAAACACGATTGTGAGCACGTCTAATGGTCGATGAGGCCCAAACTTTCACAATACCCCCAAATACCACAATAAGGCTCTGATACCACTTGTTGTGCGCCGAAAGCGGAACAAATGTACTCACAACACCAAAGTTACTCCAGACATACAATATGACACTCAAAACTTTAATGATTTCAACAGCAGAAAGAATGGCATTATATAGCCTTCTGCTAAACCTAAAGATAAACTAACAAGCCAAAAAAAGACCTTGAGAGTAGGTCTTGGTCCTAGAGAATAGGACTTATGACAGTGTTCAACATATATCTCTATATATATATATTGGCGCCCATTCTCACTCCCCTCCATCTTCACATTCTCTCTCGTTCTGTGTTCTTGCTACCAGGTTCCAGCTTCCTTTTGTCTTTTCGTTTTTCTCATTGGAATCCTCTCATCATGTTCTGTTCTGCTAATTAACAGTTTGGAACCCTTTCAATAACTTCACACCCCGTTCTTACGAAGCTGACATCAATTCTGGAGTCTAATCGTGCTACAACCGACTCCCCGGGAGATAAATTCAACCGCCATTTAGTTTGCGATACCCAAAATAGTTCGATGGATAGGTTAGGGTCTATCGTGGAAATTCCAGATACAAGACACCGATGCGATGGAGAAAACGGCGGTCACCGCTGCTCTCCGGACTCCGATGCTTCCGGTGGCGATTACCGTCGGCGTCGTAGCCCTAGCTATGAAAGTTACGATCGCTACAATCATCGTCGTCGATCTTCCTCGCCTGGCTACGCGGACGTTGGACGGAGCCCTAGGGCTGATGGAGACCAGAACGGTGTACCCAAGAGGTTTGGGCGTGCCGGAGGGCGGGCGTATGTGGACAGGAATGGAAGAGCATCTGAAGAGTCGGATTCGGATGAAGAGCTGAAGGGGTTGAAGTATGAGGAATATCGGAGGTTGAAGAGGCAGAAGCTCCGGAAGGCATTGAAGCATTGTATTTGGAGAGTGACCCCTAGTCCACCTAGGAATGAGAAGGACGAGTATGAGGACAGGGCTGATGAGATTTGGGAGAAATATGGCGACGATGGAGATAAAAGTGACTCTAGCGGAAGGAAGAAACATGAAGAGAAATATGTATGCGATAAAACAAAGAATTCTGACTCTGGCTCTGGCTCTGATTCCGAATTACCTGATACAAAATCAAGGAGGAGGAGGAGGAGGTTGAAGATTTCGGGTTCCAGGCATAGAAGTAGAAAATGGTCACTTAGTGAAACAGAGTCGGACAGCCACACCGAGAGTGAGGAGGAAAGTGAAGAAATCCGGAGGAGAAGAAAAAAGTGTAAGAGTATTAGGAGTCATAAGAAGAAGAAGAGTAGATACAGCGATACAGATGATTCTGATGTTAGCGACTGTGTCAGGTCGAAGAAAAGGAGTGGGACTAAGCGGTTCAAGACTAGTAGGAAGAGGAAGTACAGTGGCACAGATGAGAGTGAGGAAAGTGAAGGTGAAAAATTGAGGAAGCGGAAGGCCTCCTCAACTTGGTCGAAATCCAGGAGCAACACACAAAGACCTTCAGAAACGGAGACTAAAAGTTCCTCTTATGAGCAAAATGATGGTAGGAGTAAATTAAAGGTTGATGGGGAGAAGATTGCGGAGATGGAAGCTTTGAAGATTAAGGAAATTTTGGAGGCAGCATTTGATAATGAGATGCCAGTTGGACCAATGCCACTGCCAAGAGCTGAGGGCCATATTAGCTATGGTGGTGCGCTTAGGCCTGGGGAAGGTGACGCCATTGCACAGTATGTTCAGCAAGGGAAGCGTATTCCACGGCGCGGTGAAGTGGGTCTTTCAGCTGAGGAAATTCACAACTTCGAGACACTTGGGTATGTGATGAGTGGTAGCAGGCATCAGAGAATGAATGCAATCCGTATTAGAAAAGAAAACCAAGTTTACAGTGCTGAAGATAGAAGAGCTCTGGCAATGTATAACTATGAAGAAAAAGCTAAACGCGAAAGGAAGGTGATGGATGATCTTCACCGGCTTGTTCAGCGCCACATAGGTCATGATGTTGGCCCTTCACATGATCCCTTTTCTGCATAACCTCGTCATATTAAGACATGTTAATAGTTAGGATAACCTCATCTTGTGTCATATTAAGATATGTTAATATTGTTGTTCTTTGTAGCTATCAAACAAGCATGGAGGTTTGAGCTAGAGCAAATATTTTCCCTAATCACTCTACCACCATGTTTTCAACATTTACTTCAAATTTGAATGCTCTCTCTACCTATAAGGTAGAATAGAAGTGCACCTTGCAACAATGCTGGGCACTGTTATCCTTGCAGCATATTTTCGTCATTAGTTGCGTCTCATTTTTTTCATTTATTTTATTTCATCCAAAACTACTCATCACTGTATTGGAATTGACCACCAGCCACTACGAATATTAGTGTTTATTGTTGGTGAATCTAAATGGGCATGGCCACTGCCAAAGTACATTTAGAGCCGATTTGAACAAATCAAAACATTTTAGGAGTTAAAAGAAGGATTTAGGATCTCAAACTTCGATTTATTATCGATGGCATAACTTAATTAGTTAAAACACGTACTCTCAACTTAAGGTGAAACGTTCAACTGTCCGCACCAATATATTGTTTTTTTTTTTAAAAAAGTGTAACAGCCCAAACCCACCGCCAGTAGATATTGTTGCTTCCTCTCAAATTTTTTAAAACATATTTGCTAGGGAGAGGTTTCTACACCTTTATAAATAATGTTTAGTTCTCCTCCCCAACCGATGTGGGATCTCACAATCCACCCCCCTTCGGGGCCTAGCATCGTTGCTGACACTCGTTCCTTTCTCCAATCGATCTGGAACCCCCCAATCCACCCTCTTTGGGGCCTAGTGTCCTTGCTGGCATACCGCCTCGTGTCCACCTCCCTTTAGGACTTAGCCTCCTCGCTGGCACATCGCCCAATTCTGGCTCTGACACTATTTGTAACAGTCAAAGTCCACTGGTAGCAAATATTGTCTTCGTTGGATTCTCCCTCAAGTTTTTTAAAAATGAGTCTACTAAGCAAAGGTTTTTACACCCTTATAAAGAGTAATTCGTTCTTGTCTCCCGCCGATATCTGATCTCACAAAATGTTCGTCTCAATTTGTTGATTATTTTAAAATGCATATAAGGGACAGTGAACGGTAGATGTGATTGTTGGTAAAAGAAGATGGAAGGATCATAATTCATTTGCAAGACACTTAATATATGTACATGTGACAAACTAATTTATGGTCAATGTTATGTATTGCAGACAAAAGATTTGGTTGGCCTACATTAGATAATAATGGATAGCTACTCCTCACCCATCCGGCATTTCTTTGGCAGAGTTCAGGCAATCGTCAATAGTCCTTTCTCGAATGGGTCAGTGCTTGTTTCAACCATTTATCTTAAGGCCTACTCATTAAAAGCTTTTCGGCGATGATAAGAGATCCAATTCGCCTGAAATTCGAACACGACCGCGGATACTTCAGGTGGACGACAAGATAGATAGCAAGTGGTAGGTAAAATTGGATGCGCCCGCGGTAGGTAAAATTTGATAATTTGATAAACAAAAATGAGGGCAGAAGTGTAGCGTAGAAATGCAGGTGGACGACAAGATAGATGGCAAGATGAGATGAGAGCAGAGAAGAGCACATTGTGATTGGGAAGGTTCATATGCTGAGCCGCTTCAGTTCAGACACTTGTCGTCCCATGAGAAGGATACCAGAACTCCCCACTAACACAAGCACAGACACTCTTTGATGATTTTATTCCTTCGCCGACCATCTCAATTTTGACAACAACACAAAACACACAGCACAACCATTTTTTGTTCTTTTCTTCCCCCACGCCTCACTCTCACTGCCCTGCTGAAAGCTTCAAACTTTTTTCAAAGACTCCCACGTCAAATCACTCTTCTTCTTCTTCCATTATTTTCCCTTTCAATTCACCACTTCTTTTTAAAGCTTTTGTCCTTTTCTTTTTACTTTTTTCTGTGGATTTGTTCCTTGGTCTTCAGTATCAAAAATGGATTTGAATTCTGTTTCTCTCTCTCTCTTGCCTTATGTGGCTCACTGTGATCCATTTTGGATTGTGTTTCAGACAACCCATCAACAGTTCACGACATGACTATTTTTTTTAAACCCAACTTGTATTTTTTTATATGTGAGATTTGGACCATAAACTTACCATCTTATCATCCTGTGAACGGGGATATATACTTTAATGATTGTTGAATCATGTTCCTTTAATTTTTCTAAGTTTTAGAGTTGGAGACTTTTAAGTTTGAGTAGAATATATAATAGGGTGGCAGATGTGCAAACTCTCGAGCTAATTCTCGTAGCATTTTATAGGTTTTCGATATCTACTAGGTCTCTATCTAGAACTAAGTCTCCCCCATACTATATTCTAACACATATTTGATTGGTGAACTTTCCTCTTTCACTTGCACGAACTTCACTCCAAAGTCACTTATCAAAATTCTTGAGGGAACTCTAACTTTCGACCAAGTTTAGAAAATGTGGGGAAGCAAAATACATATGATTTAGGAAAGAATTATCGGGTAAAAGAAAGCTTCCAAGACAGAGTTTTATTATTTAAAGTAATGACGCTAAATCTTAAAATGTGAGTATCAAATTATGGAGGCAATATTAAATAATAGTATTAGAACTAATTTGAAGATAAGGGCTGTGAAGATGAATGGAAATCATTTGGAATCTGAAGAACAAGATGAGAAAGAGGGTTTGTAGAAACCCTAATCAAGAAAATCTCAAGAATCATCCAAAGGTTTTGGATCTTTTAGAACATAGACCTCATATTCTAAGTTTAATGGTGTTGCATCACTTTCAAATTATCATTTTCAAAGTTATAGCTATATTAAAACATTACCTATTAGAGCTCCATTTATGCTTGTCTTCTTGCATGGTTTTGACAATTTTGTTGCAAAAGTAATAGTTAGTTTGATGAATGGTTATCAACCAAAGATATCCATTAATGATCCCATTAAATGGCACACAAACAATTATAGTATAGAAATTGATATATTTACTTATTAAGCTGAGGACCAAAATGAGATCTAACCTAAAGTTAACTTGTATTATCGATCTAGAAATTAGAATATTTCCGCTTCAAAGGATGTTTTTATTGATATTTTTCAAGATCAGCAATTTGAAGTATCCATAATTCGAAGCAACTTAAACTTCTAAGCCCAGAACTACATTTTAACACGATATCAAAAGGAGGTAATGGGTAAGAAATCTAAATGATTGCAACATATTCCTTTCACACCAACCATATAGTATAGAGTGTAAAAGAAATTTGAGTTTAGTCAAATTTGAGATAAAGCCAACACCTAAAGCTACAAGGCTCACAACAAAACAATGGTGGTGTGTGTGTGTGTGTGTGATCCATACGCAAAGGGTTCAAATAAGAACAACCAACCCTCAATAATTTGGACCAAGTTAGTAGAAAGAAAGTGGCAGTGTCAGGGAGGGTCACATGCCATTGGCCAAAGTGGGTCGAGTTTTGGAGGACCCCACCCCACCTTCAGATAATGGGAAGGTCTTATAAAACGCACCGTATTTGTCCTCATGCCCTTTATAAATAGGGGTGAAGGGGAGGTGTGAAAATGGGCAGAGAAATGGAGATGGAGTCCTCGAGTGTGCGTGCTGATGATGCTGAGAAGGGAATGGCCGAGAAACAGGAGATGGAGACCAAGAAGGAGAGGAAGCTCGGTGGCGTCAAGACAATGCCTTTCATTCTCGGTATCCCTTCTTTCTCTTTTTTGCTATGCATATCCGGTAGGCATGTTGAAAAGTTATTCTCGTAATCGAATTCTATATTTTCTTTTCCAAATTTCTTTGATAATTAAGACGGTCATTTGGGTGTACGGTATTTTGTATAATTCATAATAGCTATCCACAGTTTCGATTCTCAAGATTAACAAAGTTGGGAGAGAATTATGTGAAGAATTGACTATTTATTTGAAATAAACTATAGTAATAAAAATGAAGAGGTTTAATTGATTCAATTAGAAGCAATCTAATTAGAGTACCGTTGAAATTAATTAAATTATTTATAAAGCCTTGAGGTTTGTGCCATTTTCTTTGTCCATAATGGGAACCAAAATATTTGTCCCCCGTGAATGAAATAAATTAAAATAATCAACTTTTTTATTTTTTAAATTATGGGGTTTAGGGTTAATATTTAATCGAATTATGAATTATAAATATTGAAGTATATTGGAATTAATTTAGTCGAATAAATAAGAATTTATATTTTATTTGCAGGAAATGAAATATGCGATAGATTTGCAAGCACCGGATTCCATGCCAACATAATAACATATTTGACCCAAGATTTGAACATGCCTCTTGTTCCGGCCTCAAACATTCTCACCAATTTTGCTGCTACTTCCAGCTTCACTGCGCTCATCGGCGCTCTCATTGCTGACTCGTTCGCTGGCCGCTTCTGGACCATCACCTTTGCCTCCATCATCTACGAGCTCGTATGCGTCTCTTTTCATATTGTTCAATTCTATTTTAATCTCTAAACTTTTCGAAGTTTTCATGTTGTTTTTTTTGTCGTAGGGAATGGCTACCATTACCATTTCTGCCATAATCCCAAGGCTACACCCACCGCCCTGTCCAACCCAACTCAATTGCATACAAGCCTCCACCACCCAACTAACAGTCCTTTACCTTGCTCTCCTCCTCACGTCACTCGGCGCGGGTGGCATTCGGCCTTGCGTCGTTGCCTTTGCTGCCGACCAGTTCGACATGACAAAGGTGGGCGTGGCGGGCCGGACATGGAACTTCTTCAACTGGTACTATTTCTGCATGGGACTGGCCACTCTCACAGCTCTCACTGTGGTGGTCTATATTCAAGACAACGTTGGATGGGGCTGGGGCTTTGGCCTTCCCACCATTGCCATGGCCTTGTCTGTTGTGGCCTTCGTTGTTGGCTCGCCTCTCTACAACAAACTCAAGCCCAGTGGCAGTCCGTTGGTTCGGTTGGCTCAGGTTGTCGTGACGGCTGTCAAGAAGAGAAAGGCTTCCCTTCCGGAGGACCCGAAGCTCTTGTATCGGAACCATAAGCTTGATGCTGCCATTGCCATACAGGGAAGGCTAGTCCACAC